CATAACACACACAACACACTCCTTATATAAATACACCTCTCTCCACATTACCCCCCTTACCCCTTCACTCTGACACCTCTTCATCAGCTCTCTACAATCTCACCTCCCCTCCTCCTCCTCCTTCCATACCTCTCCCTTCCCATCCCTCTTCCCTCCTCCCCTCCCCTTCCTCCCATCCTCCCATCCCTCCCCTCCCTTACACCTTCTCCACCCCTCCTCCTCCTCCTCCCTCCCCTCCCCTCCCCTTACCTTCTCCACCTCCCTCCCTCCCTCCCTCCCTCCCTCCCCTCCCTTACACCTTCTCCACCTCTCCTCCCTCCCTCTCCACCCCTCCCTCCCACCCTCCCTCTCCACCCTCCCTCTCCATCCTGCTCCTCCCCTAAGGAACAGGAGTGACAAGGAATCTCAACAGGCCATTACTCCGTTTGTAGGCCGTCAAGAGTACAATGGTTCCTCCCTTCCCTCTCTCCGTCTCCCCCCTCCTCCTTCCCTCTCTCCTCCCTCCCTCTTCCTTCCTCTCTCCTCTCCCTTTCTCCCTCTTTCCTATCTTCCTACCTCCCTCCCTTCCTCTCCCTTTCTTCATTCGTTCCTCCAAGCTTGCCTCTCTCCCTCCTTCCTTCCATCCTTACTTCTCCTTCCTCCTCTCCCTCCCTCCCTCCCTCCTCCCTGCCTCCCTCCCTCCCTCCTTCCTTCCTTCCTTCCTCCTCCTTCCTCCTTTCCTCTTTTCCTCCGTTTCTCCTTCCTCCGTCCCTCCTTCCCTCCCTTCTTCCCTCCCTCCTTCCTTCCCTCCTTCCATCCTCCTAAGGTAGTCGAAGATACGCCCACCTGATCTTCCTGTGCACTCCGCTAGAAATATTTAATAAGCTCTTGGTTTAGAGTCGTGGGGGTGAACAGGGTGTGGGTAGACGGTGTGGTGTGTGGGTGAACAGGGTGTGGGTAGACAGTGTGGTCGTGGGGTGAACAGGGTGTGGGTAGACAGTGTGGTCGTGGAGGTGAACAGGGTGTGGGTAGACAGTGTGGTCGTGGAGGTGGACAGGTGTGGGTAGACAGTGTGGTCGTGGGGTGAACAGGTGTGGGTAGACAGTGTGGTCGTGGGGGTGAACAGAGTGTGGGTAGACGGTGTGGTGTGTGGAGGTGAACAGGGTGTGGGTAGACAGTGTGGTCGTGGGGTGAACAGGGTGTGGGTAGACAGTGTGGTCGTGGAGGTGAACAGGGTGTGGGTAGACAGTGTGGTCGTGGAGGTGAACAGGAGTGTGGGTAGACAGTGTGGTCGTGGGGTGAACAGAATGGGTGGACAGTGTGGTCGTGGGGGTGAACAGAGAGTGGTAGACAGTGTGGTGTGTGGAGTGAAGAGGTGTGGGTAGACAGTGTGGTGTGTGGAGGTGAAGAGGGTGTGGGTAGACAGTGTGGTCGTGGAACAGACAGGGTGTGGGTAGACAGTGTGGTCGTGGAGGTGAACAGGGTGTGGGTAGACAGTGTGGTCGTGGGGGTGAACAGAGTGTGGGTTGTGGTCGTGGAGGTGAACAGGGTGTGGGTAGACAGTGTGGTGTGAAGTGTGAACAGGGTGTGGGTAGACAGTGTGGTCGTGGTGGTGAACAGGGTGTGGGTAGACAGTGTGGTCGTGGAGTGAACAGAGTGTGGGTAGACAGTGTGGTCGTGGTGGTGGACAGGTGGTGAACAGTGTGGTCGTGGTGAACAGGGTGTGGGTAGACAGTGTGGTCGTGGAGGTGAACAGGGATGGGTATACAGTGTGGTCGTGGGGGTGAACAGGGCGTGGGTAGGTGTGTGTGGCCGTGGAGGTGAACAGGGTGTGGGTAGACAGTGGTGTGTGGAGTGAACAGGTGTGGGCATGTGTGTGTGGAGGTGAACAGAGTGTGGTGGGTAGAGTGGTCGTGGGGTGAACAGGGGTGTGGGTAGACAGTGTGGTCGTGGAGGTGAACAGGGTGTGGGTAGACAGTGTGGTGTGTGGGGAGTGAACTGGAGTGTGGGTAGATGAGTGTGGCTGTGGAGGTGAACAGGGTGTGGGTAGACAGTGTGGTGTGTGGAGTGAGCAGGTGTGGGCATAATGTGTGGAGGTGAACAGAGTGTGGGTGGACAGTGTGGTCGTGGAGGTGAACAGAGTGTGGGCATAGTGTGTGGAGGTGAACAGGGGTGTGGGTAGACAGTGGTCGTGGAGTGAACAGAGTGTGGGTAGAGATGTGGTCGTGAAGGTGAACAGAGTGTGGGCATAGTGTGTGGAGGTGAACAGGGTGTGGGTAGACAGTGTGGTCGTGGAGGTGAACAGAGTGTGGGTAGGAAATGGTCGTGAAGGTGAACAGAGTGTGGGCATAGTGTGTGTTGGGATAAAAGCTTGAGGTTTGAAGCAGACGTCCTTTTGTTTCTGTTGGCAAGGCGCTAATCAGCACATTCCTCTCCTTACTGTAGTCGTTTGTCTGTCTCTCAGCTCTGGGCATGTCTATTTTCTCTTTTTATGTCTGATTCTGAATCAAAACTTTTAAAACTAAATCTGAACTGAGGTTATGGCTTTTTTCTGTCTAATGGTCAATAGAGGTGGAATTTTCTGTCTTAATGTCTTTATACCAAACAGTTGCCGTTTGTTCGTCTCTACAATGTCTTAATGTCTTTTATGTCTAATTCAGTAATGTCGACTACCTCACAGCCATGATGGATATGTCTATCACCATCAGTGTGTCGAGTCTCGCGCTGCCTCCCTCAACATGTCTAATCACTCACAGCCATTGACGTTTCTGCTCCCTTATAGCCATAGATATGTCTCCTCCCTGTCTCTTATAGTCATCACCGCTTTCTCTGTACCTGTCGACTCTCACGGTCACCCAACACCACGCTCGACGCTCGACGCTCGACACACCGTACTGAAGGGTGTTGACAGTCGACTGCTGAATGGCTGAAAGATCATTTTTTCCTCTTCTTGTAATTTGTTGTCGACACCTGGAGAGATCTTAGGTCAGGTTAATTAAGACAGGTGTACAGGCGTAATACTCAACATGAACGACCCGGGTATCAGCGTAGTGTTGTGAACCTCTAGGGTACTGAAACTATCATCACGTTATAAGTCTCTTGAAATATTTAGTTTTCTTATGGAAACGCGTTTACTGTGTCATTCTTTTCCATATACATTAGTGTGTGTGTGTGTGTGTGTGTGTGTGTGTGTGTGTGTGTGTGTGTGTGTGTGTGTGTGTGTGTTGTGTGTGTGTGTGTGTGCACGTATATCAAGCAGTGGTCCTCCCCACCCTACTATATGGCAGCGAGACATGGGTCACATACAGGAGGCACCTCAAGGCACTTGAAAACTTTCACCAACGTAGTCTACGTTCCATCCTCCGAGTCTGGGAAGACAAGAGAACAAATGCCAGTATTTTCGCTGCCACCAACTGTAGGATCATCGAGGCTACCATTATCCATAAACAACTACGCTAGACTGACTATGTGGGTAACATGGCGGGCAACTGAAAAGTGCCAAATCGACCCCTTCACCTGGGAGACGATTACTCCACACCGTAACGCTTGGAGCAATACCACACAAGGTGTCAATACTTTCGAGTTAGCCCGATTGCATACCGATGCAGACAAGCGCCAACGCCGGAAAGACGCTGCCGCCGCCCCTCCTGCACTAGATGTAGCCCTCTACACGTGCAACATCTGTAGAGGACTCTGCCAGCCCGTATCGGCCTCTCTAGTCACCTCAGAGCTCACCAATGAAGGTGACAATGTAAATAACTCATATTATTGTATCATAGCTGGATGATCGTCATACTTGATTCCGAGTGACAGCAAATTAGTAGTAGTAGTAGTAGTAGTAGTAGTGTGTGTTGTGTGTGTGTGTGTGTGTGTATTCCTGTAGGTGTCAACTAGGTCTAGTAACACACTACATAATATAGTCATACTCATATTGTGTTAAATATAATAGTTTCTTAATTACTGTAACGTTACAACTCAAACAGAATATCTGTTTAACAATACTTATTATCAATTACGTTATAACATGGTTTAGTAATGATACACCCGTAATGGGGTGCGGTGGCCAAGTGGGTACAGTGCTCGCTTTTTGTTCTAAGAGTCTCTGATTAGCTCCTGATGCATCTCAGTTCGCCCAGCTTTGGATGGGTACCTAAGTTACAGTTGGGTAAAGTGAAGGTTGTCATGTGTAGTGTCGGCCGTGCTGACTAGTCTGTACTATATTTGCATTGCTCCTTGTGGGTCGCCAGGCCTACGAGACTCGCATTCCCTTTCATGTTATAATAATTTAAGTTACTGCTCGAGGTTGAGCCTTATTGATCCTCCAGTTGAACAGGTAAGAAAGACCACCTGAGGAGGAGTCTTCCTCAACCAACCATAAGTGTACATCTTCAGGTTTAGCGACGGTTCCACCAATCAGAATCGCTGTCCTTGCGTAGAGCGGGACCTGCTGCCAAATTAGAGATTGAGGACGCACCTTAAGGGTTTCAAGTAGGAAAAGTAATCCCGAGAAGAGCGGCGGGTGTTTGATGTGTCCGTCGACCACCAGCCTCGACCCTCCTCACCTCCACCGCCTCACATTATCATATGCAATATATCTCATATATTTCATACTGTGTATCTGTCAACTTGCGTATGTATGTATTTTTTTATATGTGTTTATGTACAGTATATATGCAAGTATTTATGTATGGGTATATGTATATGAGGGGTGAGGCGACTGAGTTGATACAGTGATTGCCTCCTCTCCTAAGGGTCGCTGGTTCGATCCCGGAGCACACCCAGTCCACCCAGCTGTTAATAGGTACCTGCTTCTACAAGCTGGGGAAGTAAGGCGGTCGAGAGCAGTACCGGCCCTGCTGCCTCCTTGTGTACCGAAGGCTTAGCATACAGTGTGCTGTATCCACATTGTCCCTAACGAGCAGTCATGCCTATGGGACCCACTTTAATTTTCATAAGTATACATTGTATGAATGTCCTTATGTATATGTTTATGCATAGACCAGGAACTTGGACATTTTCAGGGGACATCGAGAGGGTAGAAGCCTTCCAGTGTGGCCAACGGGAGAAGGCTAAGGATCATTGTACTGACAGAGACACAGCACGAGCCAAACTACACAAATGATGGAAATTTATACAAGGAAAACAAATGAGATGCTTCTGCCCTGTATGAGAAACAAAATGGATGATATTAGGGCGTTGGTATGTACCGAAAAAATCGATATAATAGCATTCACTGAAGCATGGATCAACCTAGACTCACGTGAGTTACCGGTCGAATACCAAATTGCAGGTTACAAATTATTCCATACAGATAGGCAGATTAGGAAAGGAGGCGGAGTAGCAATCTATGTCAGGGATAATCTGAAGAGTGAAATAATTAAGGAAATAAAAACTGAGCGGAATACAGAAACAATTTGGATAGAATTAATCGACGGTAAGGAAAAATTAATCACAGGAGTAATATATAGACCTCCCAATCTTGATAGAGTTAATGAGCGACATATCTGGGATGAAATGCACAGGGCTTCCATACACAACAAAGTCTGTATAGTAGACGACTTTAACTTTGGCCAAATAGATTGGATTGACCTTATGGGTAACTCAGAATCAGAGGATTTTTATGAAACAATCCAGGACTGTTTCCTAAGTCAACATATAACCGAACCCACTCGGGGTAATAATATACTCGATTTAGTTCTGTCGAACAGAGAAAACCTCCTTAGTCATGTCGAGGTAGAGAAGGAACTTGCAAACAGCGATCACAAAGAAATTAGATTCCAGTTAGATTTTCAGGGCAGCCGTAAGGAAATTTCACAAAAGTCCCAGATTTCAGAAGGGCAAACTTTGATAGTTTGAAGAGGCAGCTGAGAGAAGGGGCAGCACGCTTGGGGGTGAACTACATGGACCTGACGATTAAAACCGACCCGATAACGAGATCTGAGGTTGCCGAGTTCCATGACAATTTAACTAATGAGTTACTTAATGCACAAAGGCAGATCATACCATACAAAAAACTCAGATCAAACAACAATGAACCTAAATGGATAAATAATTATTTAAAAAACATTATTGGTCAAAGGAAGGCTATAGGTAGGAGGATAAATCGTGGCGAAATTTACCTCAGGGATTATTATAAGGTATTGGCCGGTAGGGTTAAGACCGAGATAAGGAAAGCAAAGAGGAATAATGAGCTGAGGATAGCAAGGGAGGCGAAGCCAAACCCCAAGGGATTCTATCAAATGAATCAAACTAAACCACGAGAAAAGATTGGGCCAATACAGTCAGATACCGGCGAGCTAACTGATAACGATGGAGAAATGAGCAATAATCTGAATAAATATTTTTCAACAGTTTTCACCACCGAAAATTTAAACATGATACCAGAGGCACCGACTCTATTCAGAGATAGTGAAGAAAACAAATTAAGCTAGATAGTAGTGACTAGTAACGATGTTAGTAAGCAAATAGACAAACTAAAGCCTAATAAGTCGCCTGGTCCCGATGAGATATTTGCCAGAGTATTAAAGGAATGTAAAGAAGAGCTTAGTATGTCCTTAGCAAAGTTGTTTAACATGTCCTTAAAAACAGGTGTAGTACCAGAATCCTGGAGGATAGCAAATGTAATACCGATTTTCAAGAAGGGGGATAGATCACTATCCTCTAACTACCGTCCAATCAGTCTAACATCAATTGTAGGCAAATTACTGGAAGCAATCATTTCAAACTCTATTCAAAACCACCTGGAGAAGCACAAATTGATCAATGATTCCCAGCAGGGCTTCACAAGCTGGCGTTCATGTCTAACTAATCTATTAACATTCTTTTCATCAGTTTTCGAATCGGTGGACGAGGGACACAATTATGATGTGGTATATCTCTACTTTAGCAAAGCCTTCGACAGAGTCCCCCACGAAAGACTAATAAGAAAGGTAGAAGCACTTGGCATTAAAGGTAATATTCTAAAATGGATTAGGGCGTGGTTACAGGACAGGAAACAGCGAGTGAGCATTAACGGCACTAAATTCCATTGGAGCAACGTCACTAGTGGAGTTCCCCAAGGCTCAGTACTTGGACCATTATTATTTATTATATACATAAACGACATAGATATCGGCATAGACAGCAACATAAGTAAATTTGCTGATGACACTAAAATAGGACGTGTAATTAAATCTGACGAGGACTCCGCAAAACTACAGGAAGATCTAAAAAAATTTTTCCAATGGTCTGAAAAATGGCAGATGAAATTCAATGTGGACAAATGTAAAGTACTCAGTATAGGAGACGTAAACAGGAAACCAGTTACCAGATGAACAATGATGCCATTGAGAAATCCGACTGCGAGAGAGATTTAGGAGTAATGATAAGTAGGAATCTTAAGCCAAGTAAACAATGTGTTTTTGCTCGTAACAAGGCTAATAAAGTACTTGGGTTCATACAAAGGAGTGTTAGTTACAAGACTAGCAAGGTCATCTTAAGATTATATCTTGCGCTTGTGAGACCTCATCTGGATTACGCAGCGCAGTTCTGGTCACCATATTACAGAATGGATATAGAATCCTTAGAATGAATCCAGAGGAGAATGACAAGACTAATCCCAGGCATTAGGAACCTTGAGTACAGAGACAGGTTAAAGCATCTTAATTTGCACTCCCTCGAGAGACGTAGAGTGAGGGGCGACATGATAGAGGTGTATAAATGGAAGTCAGGGTTAAACTAAGGGGACATTACAAAGGTACTAAAACTATCCAACCAGGAGCAAACTCGTAACAATGGTTTTAAATTAGACAAATTTAGATTTAGACGCGAAATTGGTAAACACTGGTTTGGAAACAGAGTAGTGGATGAATGGAACAAGTTACCAAATATCATCATTAACTCGAATACGCTGGATGGCTTCAAACAGAGGTTGGATTCTTATATGAGCAATAGGGGTTGAGTGTAAATGGGACTGCCCAGTATGGGCCAATAGGCCCGCTGCAGTTTCCTCCATTCTTATGTTCTTATATTCTGAAGGGACGATGGGAAGGAGGGGGAGGGGGGAAGAGGGAGAGGGTGGGAGGTAGAGGTGGAGGGGGGGGAGAGAGGGGGGGAGAGAGGTGTGACGGGGGAGACTGGAACATCACACCCTTGATACACCTGTTCTTTACACATGTCCTTGTCCTTGACACACCTGTCAATTGGTATAACCCTTTGAGTACAGTGATCTAACCCCCCCCCCGAGTACAATTATATAACCCCTTGTGTACCATGACATAACCCCTTGAGTATAATGATATAACCCTTTGAGTACGAAGGCTTAACTTATCGTACTCAAGGGGTTAAGTTCCGTCAAGATTTAATAGTGTGGCAGACGGTATAGCTATAGTGAGGTCTAGTGTGGCAGGGAGGAAGGGGGAGTCTGCCATGCTGGTCACGTCTTCCACACCACCTGAGACACACACACACACACACACACTGCTGTAGTCTCAATGTGTGTGTGTAAAACTTGACACATACCACACCACACTTACACAATAAAAATTCATATAAAATAAATCAACACAATTTAGACTTTCTGACTCGAGAGGCGGATAATACTGGAGTGAGATAAGAATTGTTTTGGTCGGTTAAGGAAGTATTTGGTTGACTAATTCAGGATAACTTGGGTTGAGAGGAAACTACGAAATAAAGAAGCTACCAACGTCTTTTTTTCTGCGTTATTATGATGGAGGTAGTGTAGTGTAGTGTAGTGTAGTGTAGTGTAGTGTAGTGCAGTGTAGTGTGAGGAGGTAGAGGTAGTAGTGGTGGAAATGGTGGTGATGGTGGTGTAGTATGAGGAGATAGTGGTACTGTTGGTAGTGGTGGTGGTAGTGGTAGTGGTGGTATTAGTGGTGGTAGTGGCGGTAGTGGTGGTATTAGTGGTGGTAGTGATGGTAGTGGTGGTGGTGTTGGTTGCGTAGTAGTAGTAGTAGTGGTGGTGGTGGTAGTGTTGTTGGTGTAAAGTGTGTGTGTGGGGGGGACCACACACGTCTTGCCAGCCTCTGCATTGCTGTTGAGTCACCAAGTTGAAGCCAGACCCACACTGACTCACATTGATCCACACCGACTCACACTGACCCACACTGACTCACACCGATTCACCGACTCACACTGACCCACACTGACTCACACTGACTCGCACTTACCACACTGACTGGCCCACACTGACTCACGCCGACTCATACCGACTCCTAACCCACACTGACCAACTCACTGACCCACACTGACTCACACTGACTCACCGACTGACTCACACTGACTCACACTGACTCACAATGACCCAATGACCCACACTGACCCACGCGGACTCACACTGATTCACACTGACTCACTCCAACCCACACTGACCCACACTAACTCACACTGAACCCACACTGACTCACACTGACCCACACTGACTCACAATGACCCACACTGACCCACACTAACTCACACTGACACACCGACTCACACTGACTCACACCGACTCACACTGACCCTCTCTGACTCACATTGACCCACGCTGACCCAAACTGATCCACACTGACCCACACAGACTCAAACCGACTCACACTGACTCACATTGACTCACTCACTGCTTTCTCGCTCTCTCTCTTACACACCGAGAATAAGTGAGATATTTACCCCAGGCCGGACGAGAGCAGGTAGTGGTGGTGGTGGTCAGGGAATAGGGTAGTAAGCAGTAATTTAATCTAATTTAATTTTGCCACTTACAGCGGCTAGTTTATTGTGCACCCCATACTCAGCCTGTGAGCGGTAGCATAAAAGGATTACAGAATAGAGGTCACAAAGAGTCATTATAATTAACCCCCGTGGCCAGGATATTATGGCACTGAATGTTACGCAGTATTTAAAATAAATTCTTTGTTTAGTTCTATACATAAAGGGTAACTTATTCACAACTGCGTGAGTACAGGAGTGTGAGGCAGTATGTCTGGCCTCACACTTTGTTATTCACATCTGCGTGAGAAGTATTCACGCTCATTGTGTGTTTGGTTCTATACATGAGAACTGATATAGTTACTAAGTGCAAAAGTAGATACAATTTTAATATGTCGGCTATCTTGCCATTAGAGATGAAGTGTTGTGCCATTTCACACA